CATGTGCCTATGATCTATATCTTTTAGTTTTGGTGATTAAGATAACAACACAAGCCTAGGACTAAAATGTATATTAAAGCTGCATTAGATAGGTTATAACAGATCCTAGGGATGCAAGAAAAGCAGTGGCACAAAAGCAAAGCAAAATAACTTAGTATGCAGAAGGTGCACATGGAGTCTAGTCACATCCATCGTTCAGGCCACATATCTAGTGGGGAGACCTCGGATTAGAGCTCACCTTCTCAATAGAGGAGTCCGTCTCCAGCATCAGGATAGATGAATCCACCACCACAGGACCACTCCCATCCTCCTCTAGCTCCAGGCTCATAGCATCCCGACCTGACCCTCCAATGCATGATGCCACTCCAAGGCCCCTGCGCCAGAGAGGGAGCTAAGCCCTCATGACACTGGATGAGGGAGGGGGTGATGGGATGGTGCTGCCACCGTCAAAGGGAGCAGGTGGCGATGGTGAGGATGGAGGGAGGAGGAGACATGGTGTGTCTGAGAGAGAGCAAGAGGCGTTGTGTGTGAGTAGAAAGGCAGCTGGGAGAGAGAAGTGAGATGTTAGGGTTTTGGGACAATTTCTATAATGGGCCGGCTGGACCTTGGCCTATTTACTAAGAAGGGCCTCTTAAAAGTCCTGTCTCTGAAAATATGCTCTATTTTTATAGGCAGACCCCTTAAATGATATGCCTGCATTAATTGGTTTTATGAGTTGGTTGTTGTTAGGTTATTTGACATCCTCTGAAAATAGCAAGGTATTTGTGGAGACCAAGACAATTTTAGCTCGCCTTTGTAAGTAAACGGTTGTGTATCTTAAAATCATTTTTGTAACAATGGCTATATAGAATAGAGAAGCAAAGCAATATATATACGGAAGAGGTTTATAGAGTAAGTAGTGGTGGGCTTTGTCCAGCAACAAGTGAAACACCCCCTCCCACCGTGCACACACACCGCCAATATTTCTATATGCTAACATTTGGCTACACTCATCAAACCATGAGTTTTATTTGTTTGGGCACAAACCAAAACAGCTTATCCCCCACATATAATGTAGCTGATCTAGATTTATCGGTTCCTTCAGGTGCTAGTTAATAAATGTAGGAAACAAATGTAACCGTACAGTTGTATTTTTCTTGATTTGCATGAATCTCAATGTAGAACGAATAATATGGTGCGCTCATTCCGTTTTAAATTGCAAGTCATTTTGGTTTTCTAGACAGTAGTACCTAGATATACGCTTTATCAATCTAGATACATATAGTACAAAAGTTAAAATACCTTAAAATTTGGAATAAAGTACCTAGCTAGGAAAAAATACATATAGGTCGAAGAGCAGGGCGTAGTGCAACCGTGCAAGCGTCCCGGCATGGTTGGTAGCACTAGCCCATGCCATTTTCTTGTCCACGCGTGTGGTACCAAAAGTACCAAAGCCATGCATGCATCAAGGTACGGCGGTATGGCAAAACTTAGATTTGCCATCATATCATACGTGCCCACGAAATTCTAGGCCATGCATATCCATGACCAGACCAAAAACTATAGCCATCGATGATGCAAACGGCCCTATCAGCTGCGTGCGTATATGCATGGGACATTGGGTGGTCCTTGTTTGACCAAACGTGCATCACACATGCAAACCTTTTCCCTGAACACAAACCCTAGTAGGCTATACGTACCTGTGTAGTGTAGTCCATATGGTGCGGATGCATTTTTTGTATTATTAATTTTCTGCTTCTTATTAAATTTGTTGCAAGCAATTTTTTCATGCAAAGAGAGCTACTGAATATTAGTGTACTAGATATCTGCAGAAGCATGGTATATATATATGATAGTAAATAGTACGTCGAAGAAGAACCATCTATTTTCTTACATGCTTTTGAGAAGAAAACAGTGTGGCCCTTCTCCCCTTTTAAGACGAAAGGAATAATAAATAAATAAGGTCGCAGGGGGATATATATATATATATATATATAATAAGGATTATTATAATATAATATAAGCATTATGGGATACACGTACGAAGTGATTTACTAAGTGTATATATAATGCTTGTCAAAAGAATAGACCACCCATATCATGTGATAAGGATTAGAGAGACAACACATACACATGCTGTTGTACCACAATCTCACTCAGATTTCGACAGATATATATCGTCAATTTTTATATAAGAAAAGTCGTCGTACACGACAAATTCCCAACTTACACTTGCTCCATCTATTTTAATGAGACGCTGTGAGGGATGCATGCTAGCAGGAGATAGATAGATATATATTATCTTTCCAAGATTCTAAAGCATCATGCTTTAGGGTCTAATGACCAAAGGATGCTGTGCTTATCTCTCTAACTAGTTGTTAACCTTTCTTATTCCCCCTCATGTTCAGCTAGCTTTCACACGCCACTACTTTATTAAGATGGGAATGTGGATATGGAAATCTAAACTAAAGCACAGAAAGGAGCTCCTCTCTTTTTCCCAAATGGCATCACCATACACTAAAAGCAAATACCTTTTGATCATCTCCATAGTAAAGATTGCTCCCCCCTTGCCTTCTAAAGTGCCTTCTCCTTTCTACAACCACGAAGTCTTTAATCATATTGATAACATATATAATTAATAGCGCATTGTTCAAATTTGATCACCATCAGCTTCAGATCGGAATGCTCTTGGAGACAAGTGTCATGGTCCATCGATGTAAATAGTTGTGTCTACGCAGCTAGAGTGGGCTGATGATCTTACAATAACTATATATTGTTCACATTATTGTACGTGTCATCCATAGAGAGGGGACATGTGCCCCTACATACATCTTGCTACTGGATATATATACTCCAATAGTGCATACGCAAATAAAATGTGTACAAGTGTTATACATATAGCCAAGTATGATCGAAAAGAGATAAGCAAACCTTGCTCAAAATCAATCTGTTTACAATTTTACTTACCATAGTGTATATATTCTTGATTCAGTAAAGACATATCTTTGTTAAACTCGATGGTCATTGTAATTTGTATAAGAATTTTTCTAACATCATATATCATGCAACTTTTTTGTCACCATAAAGACCAAATAACAGAAAGAACACTTTTGTACTTTGATGATTTGTAGTGTACTAGCTAGAACAAGTACCTGTGCATTGCAACTGCAGACCTCTTATACACCCTCATATCTTCGTTTGTTACCTTCACAACTACTTGTTTTTTACTTAAAAAATTCAAATGGATCATTGAGCCACCAACAATTATTTAATGACCCTTGTAGGATGAGAGGGTCATGTTCATCCATGGGTTAGGTCTGCCCCTTGGTAGAGTTAAATGGACAATAATTCCATTGGCCGCACGATAATCTGTGATGAGGAATCTTTTTTGCCGAACAATTTGTTTGTAGGAGTAGCAGGACAATAACATATATATTTCTAGTTAACAATGAAATCAAAGTCTCACTGGAAATTTGGGGAACAAAGTACCATTAAAAAATAAAATTTGTATGTGGTTTCTTAAAATGAGGTGACTAACAAAAGACAACCTATCTAGAAGAAATTGGCAAGGGAGTAAATACCGTTGTTTTTGTAGTAGCTTGGAGACTATCCAACACTTATTATTTGAGTTCCCTTTGCTAAGTTTCTCTGGCGCGTATTGACATATATAGTGTTTAGTACTGTTCCACCCATATGACCCCTTTGGAATATGGGATTTTTCCTCTTTTATTTACTACATTTTTGTGTAGAATAAATTGATTTCTATGATATTTATGCATTCCAAAAGTTCTTTTAATGTGGAGAATCTATCTCGAGGTTGGTACAAGCAAGGTGGTCTCTAATAGTGTTTTGTTAAGAACAGGGGTCGGCGGCCTTCCAATCTAGCTCACGAGAAATAAGGTTGTTTTTAGTGTAATACTAAAATCTTTTTGCAGGTCCTATCCAGAGGGACCCATTGGCTATTCATATGGAGTCAATTGCAGAACAATGATGATGTGAAGATGCATTCATCCTTGCTTGTCATACCTTGAAGTCAGTGGCGTTTGCCTTCTTCGTCTCTCCTGGATGGTCTTTGGCTTTTAGGATTGCAATTTGAACTTTCATGTTGTGAGCCCTGTGAACGTTAGTTTGTGAAACTTTTTTTTTTGTAGTAAGCATGATCTGATTCCTCTTTTGTGAGGATGAAGCTGGAGATTGTTTTTCCATTAACTAAACGAACATATCAATGACGCACAAAACTTTCCTTAGCTTTATGTTAAAAGCCCAATAAATGACAATATCCTTTGGCCAAACAGTAACATATGTACCGAGTTTGGTCTCCATGATAGCACCAAAGAATAAGAAAACATCATTGGCGTCATATAATTGGATTGTTAAACCTGGACAGCTATAATTAGGTTACCAATAACATATACACGATTTATGTTCTATTGTTGAAATATAATAGTCAAGATGGGTGATGTTGTGGCAAGCACTTGCATCCTAGTACATGCCTAGTTGTATATAAAGATGTTTTGAGTTTTGTTCTCCCTAAGGAAGCGGCTAGCTAGCTCCAGTAAGACGTATCATTCCATAGTATAATAATAATGCCATGGCAACACTGATGTAAAGATCTATTTTTTTCCATTCCACCTTGTGGGGAGCAGAACATTGCAGCGTTTGTGACTAGTGGTTGCAAATGCATGTTTCCACAAACCACGTCAACATTAAACTACTCTCTCCAAATGTATAAGACATCATCAATGTCCCACGCACTAGTAGTAAATAATCTACTCGACAACTTATTGCTAATAATCTACTCGACAATTTATTAGCAACAAGAACATCAATGTCTCTACAATTTATAAGTTTGTTGCCGAACGCATGAACACATAATTAACTATACATAACACAAATGGCTAATAATTAAATATAAGGATGAGCTACAAATTATCTAGGACAAAGGAAAAATACAAAGAAAACTAAGTAGTTAAGAACTCTAGGCTAATTTGTTGATATATTAAAAATGAAGCAATACAATGTCATGAGTGCTCCATTAATTGGAAGAAGAACACACCATCCACAATATTAATGATCCTCGCATTATATGAAACACTCTCTTCATTCCCTTCACTATCCTCGGCGCATGCATTCAAATCCAAGGTAAAACCAGATGACTCCATCCCATTCTCTATGTTCATGCCATTTCCTTCCTTTCCATCCTTATCGATGACCCTTTGCTTGAGCCGAGGAGAGGAAGCGTTAGACATTGAATCGAGTGCTTCACAACTCAATACAATGATGGCATCCCCCAAACTGATCTCATCACCATTGCAACCCCTAATTCTTCCATTTGTGATCGCATTCCTGATGCCGATCTCTGACTCATAGTCCAGGTGCTCAACACCGTCGATCATTATCACCCGATGAGGGTTTTCGAGTATCGCGCCATACAATCTCTGAACGTAGCCATGCCCAGTATCCAGTGATCTTTGCCTCTTCAACATGGGCTCGGCGGAGCTGGAATCGGAGTGAACATGGGTGAACTCATCAGCTAGTGAGATGGAGGTAAACTTGCTGTAGGAGCCAAAGACAAGCCTTGCAAGCTCCCGAGACACTGCTTTCTTGTCATCATTGCCCCCACCTTGGAAGAGCAACCATGTCACTGCAGTTGGCTTCTCTTGGAACCACCACCTTCTCCTCCTTGTCAAGCCTGAGCGGCACTGGAGCACGACACTTGCAATCTCTGTAACCACGTCCTTGTGACGTGGAGCCCGATTCTCAAGCGCGTTGCAGAGGATCTTGAGATTCTCAGCGGTGAGCTCCGTGAACTTTGGCGACTCAGCTGGGGCTCCTACGGATGAGTTGGTCACCGAGTAGGATTTTTCTGGACTAGGCCTTCCATGCAATTGTTGATGATCATAGGTCCTGACCAATGCATTTGGATCACCATGTTGATAGTTTTGGCATGGTTGCATCAGCTTGAATTGCCATGGCTTGGAGCTCATCATCAAGCTGGCAACATTGAAGCTTGGGGCAAAGGAGCCGGAGATGGAAGAAGCGTCTGGAGAGTTAGTAGCCTGTGAGGAGAAGCTCAGAGTGAGCTCCGACGTGTGGTATGCTGCTGATCCATTAAAATTGGGGTTCCAATCTTGCAACTGCACCGAAGAAAATTGATACTTTTAGAAACAAAACCTATTGCTATTTAATCCATGCAAAATCTGAACACAGGAGGTGTGGGGTATATGGACAAAGATGGTAAATAATCTTTGAGCCATGCATCTTACTTAGGAAGAAATGATTGGTTTAATTTGCTAAGTTGTTTAAGCATGTATGTGGTATCTTTATCTTAATATATAGCGCCTCTTGCTAAGTTGTTTAAACATGTACCTGAAAACTGGTGCTGCGGCTCGCCGGTCTTGTCATATCTTGAACTTGGTACCCCTGAAACCATGGCGGCACACTCGGAGTTGTCGCCGCCACCATGGTGCAGGAAGTGATGAGCTCACTCTCGCCGGTAGCAGTGCCGTTAGCGAAGGGCCAAGGCCTTGTTGCTCTTTCTTGATTAGCTTGTTCGGCGTCACTGGAGAAGAACAGAGAGAACCATCCGGCATTTCCAGACGTTAATCATCTTATAATGATCGTTAATTATCGCAAACTCACAAATAATATAATTGATTTGAGCATCGAACCTGTCGCAGGTGAGGCTCAATGAGAGGCCGCCGTCCGGCACGACGACGGGGTGCAGCTCCCAGACGGCCTCAAGAGATGGCTGCCCTGCTCTGGACTTCATGTAAGCCTGGTTGTTCCCGAACCCTAGCAGCCAGAACCTGTCGAAGCCTCGGCCGCCGCCACCGGCGGCAGCGGACACAAAGCTGCCCACTTCCATGACGGCGTGCTCGACGGGGCAGTAGCCGAACTGACCGTGTTCACGGCCGCCACTGCCGTGCCTTCTCCGCTCCGACACGGCGGCCCAGGCCTCGGCGGCGTACGCGAGGTCCTCGAGGACGAGCACGACGCCCTTCCCGGCGGCGCAGCCCTGACGCACGAGCGCGCGCAGGTCGTCGGCCTTGGCCTCCACCTCTTCCCTCGGCATCCGCTGGAAGGACGCTGCCGAGAGGGGCACGAACTGGAGGTTCTTGAGCCGCTCGTGCCGCTGCTGCAGCTCCCCTTTGCTCACCATGTCCATCACCGCCTTCACCACCACCTCCGCGGTGGCCGCGCTCTCGCCGACGACCACCACACACCGCTTGGTCCCGCTCGCCATGCAGTCGAGCACGCGCATGGCGTCGTCGTCGGACTTGTTGGGGCGCCTGCTGCTTGGGTGACCGGAACCTGGTGCAGGAGAGCTCGTCGCGTGGCCGCTGGATGGTATCGTCGTGTTCGGTTGATGCTCCGGTGACGACGACGACGAGACGGCCTTCTCGACGTTGGCCTTGACCTGGGAGCTGGAGAAGCCAGCCTCGCGCATGACGCGGCTGACGCTGGGGTCGTCGAGGATGGAGATGATGAGCTGCTCGATGTCGACCTTGGCGGCGAGCACCGGCTGCGGCGGTTGTCCCTGTGCCTGCCCTCCTTCCATGGCGCCACGGCGCTGGTGTGCCTGCGCGCGCTTGAACGTGGCGACGAGCGCGTTGGACAGCACGGGCGTTTGCTGCTTCCCGTGCCTGCCATGGTGGAGGGGGTGGGGGTGGAACATGACGGCGGCAGCAGGGCCGGCTGTGGGGAGGCGGTTGAGCGCGACGTTGAAGCAGAGCTCGAGCGCCTTGCACTGCAGCGGGTGGGAGTGGGAGTGGAGGCAGGCGGCGCGGAGGAGCCCCGCCGCCGAGAGCATGGCGCTGGCGACGTGGAGCGGGGTCACCTGAGCGTGGCCGCGCCGCCGGGCCAGGGCCATGGCCTGCCGCACCACGGCCGCCGCCTCCGCGGCCAGCGCCTGCTGCACCGCGCAGCCGCCGGCTCGCATCTTGCGCTTGCTTGCTTGCTGCTCGTGCTGGCTTTGCCGAGATGTCCGTCCTCGGCAACTGATGCAATTTGGGAGCAACGTGCAGGCGCAGGTGCCTGGCTGGACTGGATCCTCTTGCTTGCTACCTGTGATGTGATCCCTTTTTAGTAGTCAGGTGGGTGGAGTGAATGTTTCTCTTGGTCTTGGTTACACACACATGGTAGTATTATACTGCTCTGATTACATGTTCGTATGTAGGGAGTACTAGCACACAAATTAACACATAGCAAATACCAAATAGCATCAATGACAAAACCAACACGATGACACTGAGAAAGTGCATGTTATGATGATATGTAGATGTAGTATACTAGTATGCCAGTATGGCAGTATCTGACTATAGGAGGCTAACACGGGGATCCCTGGCCCACATGCCATTGAGATATCAGTGTCATATTACGAGCGTATATATATAACTCTCAAAAAAAATATTGTGAGCGTAGGTCTTTAGGCTAGGGGGCAGGAAGGACAAATTGGCTGGTGGTGCGTCCCGCCTGTAGTTGCATGTGGATGTAAAGCCATGCACACGCACTTACATATATTCTTCTCCCCCTCTTGCACTCAACCTCTGAAACTAGATATATATGGAAAAAGGTGCCACATGTATAGAAAAAATCATGTATGCACATATCAAAAGTTCATTTTACAAGCACATTGGTGTATTACATTTCTATTACTTATGGCTTGTTTAGATGCACTTGTATTCACCTCGATCCACGTGTGTTGAAGTAATGTTGGTCCATACAAAAATACGGTCGTCTACACATGGGTCTAAATAGCTCACGAGCATACAAAGTGGCATTTTTTAGTTTTTAATAAATTATAATGGCACCGGCCATATTAGGTGAGAGTGAGAAGTAGTGGTGCTTCTAAGAAACATCAACTTTGTAATGGCAAAATTCTAGTTAACCCTTTAATTAGTCTCCTATGTTTATATGGTCCACAACATTGCATGTAAATATTGAAACTTTAGGCGTCACTATGATAGGCCACGATGAACACATCCATATATACATGAAAAAAAAAAACTCTTGCACCTCTAGAACATACAAGGAGGCACTCATCATATTAGTGAAAAAAACCTTTTATCTAGCACTTCTCGTATATTTTGGTACCTGATTTTTATTGGTGTTGTTTAGGCAGCATGTAATTTTATCGTTGTTTGAATATAAAAAATAGGAATTGTGTCTTAATTGTACTAATCGTTTGTCTAAGATTATTTGTCTACAAATTCAGGCACGTGAAATATCAACTCCCTTTCTCTAGGGGAAGGGTAGTAGGTAATCTTTCTTGATTTCTTACATAACAAAGTTGTTTGTTGATAATTTGGAGAAAACCACCAGCCATAATATATGGTCACAACTGAAAAAATTGTACTTTGCCGAGTGCACGAGACTTTGCCGAGTGTTTTTATCGGGGCACTCGGCAAAATAAATACTTTTTTGCAGTGCTTTGCCGAGTGCCAAAATAAAGCACTTTCGGCAAAGGTGGCTTTGCCGAAAGTGCGGACACTCGGCAAAGCCCGGCTCTCGGCAAAATTTGGCTTTGCCGAGTGTCACAAGACTTTCGACAAAAGGTGGCGGCCCGTGACGGTGGCCACGACGTCGATTTTGCCGAGTGCCTAGCGGATGGCACTTTCGGCAAAAAAAAAAATTAATTTTAAAAACTTATTTTGCCGAGTGCCACCCTTCACACTTTCGGTAATTTTTTTTTTTAAAAACATATTTTGCCGAGTGTAAGCCTTGGGCACTCGGCAAAAAAAAATTAATTTTTTAAAACTTATTTTGCCGTGCGGTATTGTGGGCACTCGGCAAATTTTTTTTTTTTTTTTTTGAAAATCAACTTTGCCGAGTGCCCCCACATGGCACTCAAAAAAAAAATTTTTTTTTTTTGATTTTGGGCCCAAATTTTTTTCTTATGGCCTTGTGACAAGTATTTCAAACTCTATTTTAAAATTTGGGGCAATTTTGACTTTTTTATATATTTCATTAGTTTATTTCGTTTAAATCAACTTTTTGGGATATTTCAAATTTGAATTGCAGGGACATGGAATAATGGACTTTGGTCATCCAAAATTGATACTCATGATATTTAGGGTATGTTTAGGCCGTATCCGGGAACTCACATGAAATCTCGAGCATCTCGTTGACGTAACATGTCGAGGTACTTGCTGGAAATGTGATTTTAAATTATATAAAATGCAAACGAAGTCCGAAAATCACGAAACTTGTCGAGGCGTCTTGTTATCGCATGTGGAGGCTGTGGTAAAAAATTGTGAAGGTTTCGAGCAAGTTGTGACGTCGGATACCAAAAACCCAAACATGTCCTCATGTGATCAGTAGTGAGATGTCATTTATATATTCTAACGCTCAATTTTGCCTGATTTCTAATCATCTGTCCGTCTTTCTCGTAGGAGGTGGCACACCCAGATGTGCCGGTGTCGGAGTTTGGGGCATGGGCTGTGTCCCACATGGGCCCGGTGAAATCCGGTGTCGTCTTCAACCCGGATGCCCCTGCCCAGGCTTACTCTGACCCGAGTGTCCACGCTAAGGTCAGAGACTACACGGAGGCGGTTAGGGTGCTCCGTGGCTCAGATCACAATCTGAGCACTGAGCTCCTAGAGATAGAGGTGATCGTGAGGCTGGGGCAAGGCAGGAAACACGGGCGGTTGTGGATTGCAGACGGCGCCGACTCCTCGAGCTCTGCACCCTCTCTCTCCGACGTGAGGGCACGGAGCATGGCCAGAAGCCTTCCCATACGTGCACGGCCTACCCCAACACTATCGCGGGTCGACGAACTTCAGGTAATTCTGGTTTTACTCGTCGTACATTGAACGTTACACACATTGATCAGATTTGCAATACTGAAACATGTGATTGAAACACTGCAGGCCGAAGCTAGCAGAGACAAGGGAGACGCAAGCGCACCTAACCGTAGAGCTGGAGGCCACGAAGAAGCAGATGGCGGACATGTATCAGATCATGCAAACCATCGAGCAAGCATCAGGTGTCCAAGTGCAGTTGCCAGCTCCAGCTCCGGTTCGACACTTCTCTCATGTGAGTATGAAAGTTTAATGCGTTCGTGCCATTGGGATTGTCGGCCTTCGTGCCGTTGTGATTTTCGGCCTTCGTGCTATTGTGATTGTCGGTCTTCGTGCCGTTGTTTCTTGTAGGTTGGAAACCTCCCCGTGCAGGGGAGGTGCTGCCGAAATTTTCAATTTTGAGTCTAACACGTGCAATCTCTTCTCTTTTGTGCAGCCTCCGTCGGCGGGTTCAAACAATCCCGCTAGTGTGTCACCGACGGCTGATCACGTCAACCCTTCGCCGCAGTCCGGTCCTTCACCGCTGTCCAGGGGGCCACACCTGCAGTCTCCGTCGCCACAGTAGGGATGTTGAACTTTGTGACGTTGAACTTGTAATAATAAACTTGTGATGTTGAACTTTGGTGCATTTGTGATGGATTTATTAAATATGCGTGTGCTTGTGATATATAATGCATGTTGGTGATATGGATGTGATGATTGATGTATATATATATATATTGTCTGTTGCAATGGAATGTAAAAAAAATTGCAATTCTCGAGGTCTTTGTCGAGTGCCATGGGCAAGACACTAGGCAAAGATTTTTCAAAAAAAAAAACTTTGCCGAGTGCCTCGCCGCGGCACTCGGCAAAGTATTTTTTTTAAAAAAATCCATAAATTCTTTGCCGAGCGCCTAAACAGGGACACTCGACAAAGAAATTATTTAAAAAATAAATAAATAAAACTTTGCCGAGTGCCTGGGCAGGGGCACTCGGCAAAGTAATTTTTTAAAAAAAATAAAAAAACTTTGCCGAGTGCCTGGGCAGGGGCACTCGGCAAAATATTTAAAAAAAATTGCCGAGTGACTGGGCTGGGGCACTCGGCAAAGTAATTTTTTAAAAAAATAAAAAAAATTGCCGAGTGCTGGTTCGGGTACTCGGCAAAATAACCGTTAACGGCCGACGCGCAACGGCCGAAAATATTTTGCCCAGTGCCGCCCCAAGTATTCGGTAAAATTATTTTTTATTTTGCCGAGTGCCCCGATAAAAAGCACTCGGCAAAGACTCTTTGCCGAAAAAAAATTTGCCGAGCGGACTTTGCCGAGTGCTACACTTAGCAAAGTCTTTGCCAAGTGCAACGGGCTCTTTGCCGAGTGTAAAAACACTCGGCAAAGCCGCGGCCTCCAGTAGTGCACCGTTGGGTAGAGGCTGGATGATGTATGGGTAGAGGTTGCAATATGGTGTTGGATGTGGGGAACGTGAGTTGGGATCCTCAAGGGTGAAGATGAGGATAGAGGCAAGGTTTTCACCCAACAGTTTAAATCCGATCGGTTTGCGTCTACAAAATCTTGCGAAGGATAAGTACAAAATCCCTAAAATTCCATATTTACCATTAATATAGAGCCCACATGTCATAGACACATCGATGACAAAATACGACCTTGAAAAGTTTTGATATGGCATGTGAAGAATTTACTTTAAACTTCTTATTAGCTGTTTAATTAGAAGACTGATTTCAAGACTAACACCAATGTAAATTACGGGGTCCGTAAAATTTTACAACCTAATGGATCTAAAATGTCTGCTTGGATGGACAGTAACGGTTATAATCTCACAACAGTATTATGCCTTTCCAACCGAAAAACAGATGTCGTGTCCAAATGCTCTCATTCTTCAGTCCATCAAGGAGAAATTGGGCGCTTGACTGATCATGGTCATGGGATTGTAGCATGTTTATTTGGTCTTCGATTGATTTTTTTTCTTGCTGCTATTGTTCTTCGCAAAAAAAAAAAGAATTTACCCAAACAATCATTTACATGGGAATGATGTTCTGGTTGTCTCCTTGAGCACAAGAAATTGCGGGTAGAAACAAATTACAGGTGAAATATTTTACAAAAATTCCATACAGGAGCTTACTCATAATGACATGCGGCTTGTTTCA